TGTCTCACTTCCCCACCCCCACCTGGCTGTCACTACCACTGGGTAGCCATTTTCTTCTGCTTGGGCTAGGTAGAGAGGCATTGTTGCAGCTGGACAGGAAGTGGGCAAGCGCCTTCTGCCTCTACCCCCAGGTCTGCTGTAGAAGCAGAAGAGACTGCCTGCACATGGAATATGTACTTCTCAAAGGCTTTGGAAAAAACATTAAGAAAAACTCAAAAGCGGAAAGTCTGTGCAAAGCAGCCTTTAGTTCATCCCTGGGCTTGGGCTGGCAGCTCTGGGTGAGAGAACGTCAGGCTGGCAGGATCTGGGTGTGAACCAAGACAACAGGGCGATTGATCACAGGAAAGTTACGCCTCAATCGAGGAATTATGAGATCCAGACGAGCTGAAGGCAAGGAAGTGGGTGCAGGGCTCCACTTCAGCCCTGCATCAGGCTCAATGTGTGGCCAGACAGAGCAGACCGGGGTTCAAATCCAGCCACTCTCTCAGCCTACCCTGCCACACGGGGCTGTTGTGCAAGCATAAATGAAAACAGGACAATCCAATCTACTACAGTGAACTTTTTGGAGGAGGGTGGGACAAATATACCATCACTAAATTGTTCCAAGAATATAGTCTTGCTTTGCAGACTCAAAATATGGAAGTAGACAGTGTGGATTCCAGTAAAGACAAGAAAGAGATTTCACAGAACGAAAGTCAGCCCACAGCATTCATGGCATTCCTTAATGATTGTTCATTAGCCGACTATAGTTGCCTAACCCTCCAGGGAGACTAGAGGAGCACAACAGACCTGCCAGGCAGCCAAGACCCACCTTGAAAATGGTAAAGCTGAATGGGAATTGGACGCAGGCCTCCTCACGTGAGCCCCATACTCAACCCCCAGTGGAACAGATCCCTACACCATGCATTTGATGAACCGTCTCAGACGGCAGCCATGTTGGTCTGGAGTAGAAGAGCTAGACTGGAGTCCAGGAGCACCTCAGAGACCCAACGGGATTTCCAGGGTATCTGATGATTGACTCTCGAAAGCGGGGACCCCGGAAATCTTGCGCTACTGGACTCTATGCCAGAGACTTTACAAACAGAAAATGACAGCCAAGAAAACATCTTGCTGAAGGGCCACAGAGGGATTCCGAGGATAGGGCTCTCCCTGGATTAGAAAGAAGGGGCAAGGGCTGAGGAAGCCAGATTTTTGTTGCTAAGCATTCCATTTTTAATATAATTGGCACAAGACCTCAGGAAGGGTTGGGTCAGGGCCAGAGAACTTGTGGTTTATCAGACGTGTGCTGCTTTGACTTGCCAGGTCTCCGACACTGATGCACACCCAGCTGGAGCTGGGTCTGGTGCCGGCCAGGGCATGCAATCCAGGGTTCCACATTCCAGTCTTGCACTAGAAAGGAATAAGTACGGACAGAGGCACAGGGTGGTGATGGTCATGCATGGGGTAGCTAAAAAAAAAAAAAAAAGACCTTTCCCCAAGCTGGTTTCCCTGTTCAGCAGCCCAGAGGCTGTACCCTCTGTCCACACTGGTGGTCACCCAAAGGGCGCAAGGATGACAGCTGCCCTTACCCTGGAGGTACAGATGACTTCTCGGAGGTTGATATTCATCCAGTTGTCACAACTCACCAGGTGACCGTTGTAAGTCTCTCCATTTTTCAGCTCCACCAACTGGAAAGACAAAGTTACTAAATCTACCATGAGGCCTAACTAGCCTTAAGCCCAGTTCTCCCAGGCATACGGGAGGCTTCAGACTGAAGGTGGGGGCTCAAAGGAAGGAAAGCTCACAAGAAACCATGTGTTGAAAATCTTTACACAAAGAAAAATAGCCTATCATGAAAGAGCTCTGATGTGTCAGCTTTCTGTGGGGGAGCATCCCTTCAGGTGTAACCCCCCCCCTTTGTAGTTGGAAGTGATGCAGCCTTGACCATCTCATCTGCTGAGTGGAGAACCAGGTCCAACTCAGCAGCTTGTCTGCAGAGAAACAGGCACATGAAGAAGACCACACATGTGCCCACAGTGAACTCCTTTCATAACAATTAAGTGCGGTGAAGCTGCAACCACTTTACGGCAACCCCATGACGTTCCACCTCATGGGGGTTTCAAGGCAAGAGACGAGCAGAGGTGGTTTGCCACTGCCTGCCTCTGCGTAGCAACCCTGGACTTCCTTGGTGGTCTCCCATCCAAATACTAATGAGGGCTAAGACTGCTTGGCTTCCAGGCTCTGGCAAACTTGGCCTGCTCAGGGCTATGTAGGCGGCTACACTGACTGTGAATTCATTTAGTGCCACAGTATTTGCCATAGTATATATTATAAATACACAACAATTAAGGATTTTTTTTAAATTGCACCAACTTAGAGTGGCTTCCAGGCATCTTGTAATCAGGCTCCCATATGGAGGCAACCCTCCTGCACCACCTTCCAGCAGCAGGGACTCCCAGGCCATCCACAAATATGATGGTGTATGTATGTGCATGTGTGCATATGTGAACAGCAGCAAAAGCGGAATAGAAAAGAGGGTGGAGTCAGGAAAAATCAGGTGAACTTCCCATAAATCCCACTTTCCTCAAGACAGAGGTGCTGCAAGGATTTTGGATGCTGAATTTCATGAATTCACAAAACTGGTCTGTGCCCCCCAGCTCCACAAATGTTGGGGTTCTGAGAACAGCCCTCGTTACTCACCATGGGGTGGTTCTGTGCCGTCTTCAGCAAGGACAGGGGAAGCTGCAAGGGGAGACGAATTGGACAGCTGGAGAAATAGGCCAACAAAGCAAGTCAGCTTCCTGAACCTAAGGCATGTTAACATCCTCTCTCCAGTACGTGACCAGAGTTGGCACAGCAGACCTCCGCCACTACTGTTGCCAGGATCCTGCCCTCAGCTTTTAAAAGCAGCCCATCCCCTCCCACCCAAGCCTGAAGTTACAGCCTGCCAGTACCTACTATGCCACCAGGTTTCTTCCCCATGACTTAAAGAAAAACCCACATTAAGAGGACACCACAGTCATCCTCAACCATTCAAGAGGCCAGAACCCCAAAACAGCTTTTCAAGTCCTTGTAGAAGTCATACAAGAGACAGAAACACAGTCAAAGCACTGTAGCTTTTTCAGCTGAAAACACCCACTCTCACTTTGCTCCCCTTTCTTAAAGAGGTAGTGCAGTCCAGGGGCAAGCAGCACAAACCAACAAAGCCCTAGTCCAAACCTCACCTCAGTCATGCAAAGAACCACCCACATTATTGCTTTAAAACTTTTTTTAAAAAATCTGCCAGGATTTGCCTTTATTCCCTGCCCCAGAAAATGCATTTCCCACTGTACACCTTGGTTAATGCCAATGATACAGGAATTACCTTCTGTTAGTCCAATCAAATTAAGGAGGCTTACTCCCAGGTAAGCATGCAAAGTACTTAGTGCTTCCTCTCTTGCTTTTTTCTAACACCCCACCCCCCACCCAACTAACACAACTGGTTTTGAGAAACTTCAGCCACCAGAGTACCAGGAGGCTTATGGTAAACTCCAGGGAGGCTTGTGGTAAACTGCAGATCAAAATACTGGTTTCACTTACTGGGCTGTTGCAGACCATCACATTCTCACAGCCTTACCCTCCCACAATACCAGAACAGCACTAATTATGTTAGCCTCCCTTAAAGATTGCTGCCAGGCTAATAGGAACCCACACTAAGATTAAGGATATTATTATGCTAAGTTAACTTCAATTCATCGTTATACACAGAACACTGTAGCAGAAACATCATAATATGCCAGGGCCTCTGGACTTCCAGCTCAGCCACAAAGTTGCACCAATCTCCCTGCAAAATGCTGCAGCCCTTTCTTTTAATAAAGCTTGAACCCGGTGGCACCTTTAAGACCAACAACATTTAATTCTGGGTATATGCTTTCATGTGCTTCTACCCAGAATTAAACGTTCCTCGTCTTAAAGGTGCTAGTGGACTCAAACTGTGTTCTATTGCTTCATTTTAAGAGTGCCTAGCCAGACTTTCTCCCAGCGGGACACAAAAGCCCCTCAAAGCAGACACCAGGCCGGCATAGTCTTTGGCAAACCACCCACAGTACAGTACAGCAATCAATAACGTGGAGAAGGCTCTCTAGGTTGCAAGCCCCTCTAGAGCAGACATTCCTGACGCACTGCATGCACAGCTCGGCACAAAATGACAATGAACCTGTTACTCATCCACCCTACAGAGCGCACCCCAGCCCCCTTTCCACTAATGCCTTGGGAGGAAGCCCCTTTAAGGTCAAGGGGGATTACTTAGGAATAAACATGCCAAGAAGGGCACTAGAAGCCTCCTCCCACCCCACAACCTCACCATCTTCCCGCTCAGGCACCAGCCCAAAACCGCCAACTTCCGCTTCCGTCCCCACTTTGTCTGCTCTAGGCTCCTCGGTGCATCAGCGAGCTAATTAGCTCCCGGCCCCGCCTATGGGAGGAAGGGAAGCTTCAGAACGCAATGACGCAACAGGGGTGCAAGGCGGGAACTCCTTTTACCCACCATGCTGCACGGTGAGCCGCTGTCGAGGAAGAAGTGAGAAGAGAGAGGTTTCCCACAATGCCCTAGGTCGGGACAATCGCGAGAGGCGTTGCGATTCGCTGAGGCGGAATAAGATTATCTCTGCAATGTTCTACCTCGGTCAACACGCATAGACATATTTTATTTACTTACTGATTTAATTTATATCCTTTTTTCCCTCTCCAGTGGGGACCCAAAGCACCTTACATCATTCTCCTCGCCTATGTTTTATCCTCGCTACAAGCCTGTGAGGCAGGGGTGTCAAACATTTATTTATTTATTTATTAGACCCCAAATGGGCTCAGAGCAGTGTACAACAGTTAAATAATACAATTAAAACATTATTAAAATAACAATTTACACATAAAATATCATAAAATACCGTGTAACTATAGAGGTAGTCAGATGACCAGTCAGAATCAGGCCACTGGTGGACAATTTCGCTGGAAAGAGCTGGGTCAAAAAACTAGGACTAGGCTGCGGTCACACACACAAAATAATCCACTTTCAATGCACTTTCCAACTGGGATTTTACTCTGTGAACTGGCAAAATCCAATTCGAAAGTGCATTGAAAGTGGAGTGAAAGTGGATTATTTCGTGTGTGTGACTGCAGCCCTAGAGAAGTTAGGGGGAAGAGCTCCGTCTTGCAGGCCCTGCGGAACTGCAATAGGTCCTGCATGGCTCTGATCTCACATGGGAGCTCATTCCACCAGGCCCTGGTCAAGGCTAGCCGGATGTCCTTGGGGGCAGGAAGGACAAAGAGATGTTGATTTGTGGACCTCAGTGCTCTCTCGGGCTCATATGGGGAGAGGTGGTCTTGTAGGTATGCTGGCCCCTGGCCGTATAGGGCTTTAAAGAAGCATCAGGCCCCCAGAGGGCTTCCATCAGGCCCACAGTGGAACTGGCCATCTCCTGCTTCCAGTTCTGCTGCTGCTGCTGCATCATAGCTTGCGCCAGACTCTTAATCACTCAGCCATTTCATGTTTTTACCTGGGTCCTAGACTTAGAACTCTGAACACGAGATTTCTGTGGTGAATGTCAATAAATCAAAAGCAGGTTTGCAGCATACAGAGCTAATGTTTTAAGCATGTTTTTATTTTAAGTAAAAAAAATTATGTTTGTGTCCTTTATAAAGTTTATATCTCTGCTACCTGGCATTACATTTTATGACACACATGGCCTGACCCAACAAGGTCTCATTTCTGTCAGCTCTGGCCCTCATAACAAATTAGTTCAACACCCCTGCTTTGAAGTGTGTTAGCCAAGTGGTGTGAATGGGCCAAGTAAAAAATGACCCCTGGCCAAGGTAAAAAAAAAATAGCGCAGGTATGTTGTTCTATTGTTTTTTAGCCTTACTTTATTATTTCAGTCACATGAGAGATACACAAACCATACACGAACAAAACAGCAATCAGGAAAAGCAAAAACACAAATACTAAATCAAAATTTCAAAAGAAAAATAAAATGTTAACCGTCATTATATAATTTGTTTTACAGTTTTACAAAAAGGCTTCTATATATTTGAGTCCAGTGGCACCTTTAACACCAGCAATGTTTAATTTTGGGTATAAGTTTTCGTGTAAGCTTAAACCCAGAATTAAACTGTGTTGGTCTTAAAGGTGGTGTCGCTGGACTCGTACTTTGTTCTGTTGCTTCAGGCCAACACGGTAACTCATCTGAATGTATATATTTACGTTATTTCTCACTGGGACTCAAGGAGGATTACACAGAGTAAGTCAATACAATCAAGTCTCCACTGTGCCATGGAAGCTTGCTGGGTGACCAGTTAATGACATTTACAATTTGGCCACCACCACTTTCATTTGAGGAAAGTCCTACCAATCATGACCAAGATAAGCGAAACCATTTTTAAAAGACTACATATATTCATACGGTGTCTTGATAAGCGTCCATCATTAATCTGTGTTACTCATTACACTGCAATGTCTAATTATAAGTAATTATAACTGACTGTAATCAAATATGCAAAATAAGATCTATTTCCCTCCAGGCAAAGGAAAAAGATTATAGGTCCCGGTCACATGGGCTGGAAAATGCAGGGGGGGGGGGAAGCGTGGCTGTTTGCCCCGGAGCAAAATAACGCACGGCAGTCCGATCACATGTCCCGTGGAGGTCCCGTGGGTATGCCGTTAGGTGCCGATCACACGGCTATCCTGCACTGCGGCAAAGAAGTGGCACGACGTGATCACACTGGTAATCGCTAGGCGCCGCTTCCGTGGCAAACGGGAATTTTTTCCCCTCACCACAGTGTGCGCATGTGCCGGTGGGCGTTTGTGCACATCCTGTGTAGACATTAAAAAAAAAATCCGGTTTGCGACGGGACATGGACGGGCGCCGGATGCCACGGGATTCCAGCGGAAACGCGATCAGACGCCCACTCTTGCCCCGCGTTTTCCGGAAACTAGCACATCGTATGTACTAGTTTTTTACGCCGTATCTTTGGTAAGAAGCCACGGGTTAGCTACGGGTGCACTACCCTTCCCAGATGTTGTGGTGTGATCCCGCCTGTAAAATCCGCCTATCATTCGTATCTTTAGCGTGGCAAATGCTCCGTGTGAACGGGACCATAATTCAGCAGCCTCCTAAGTAGAATGTTGACAGGAGAGATACTAGGTAAGGCAGCTGGCTACCTGCCAGCCTTCCATACTATAGATCAGAGACTGGAGAGGGAGGATGTTTGGGGAGGGGACCTCAGTGGGATATAATGCCATATGGTCCACTCTCCAAGGCAGAGGCAGAGATCTGGCAGCCTTGGCCCGGGAGTTGGTTGCTGCCTTCCTCTTCCCCCTCATACCTATCCTGGGTGTGTATGGGAGCAACCTGAGCAAGCTCTCCCCAGCAGCATGCCCCATGGCGTAGGAGTGATGTTGGGGCCAGGGGGGCTGGCAAGAACAGTAGCAGCCCCATACCGGGCTGGAAGCACAGTCCCTTGCTAGGGGGCCTCCTCCCCTTCCAGGTGGGAAAGAGGATCATCTCTGGAGTTTGGTGTGACTGTCAGACTACTGGCCAAACATGCATGGCACCTGTTGCCTTGCAGGATTGGAGCCCTACACAGGAGCAAGCAGACAAAAGCGTGTACCTTCACACAGGGGTGGGTAAGTGTTGTGTGGTAAATAGAGCCCCCCTCTGTGGTAGGGAGGACCTTAGATCCCACCAGAGCCGCACAGGCATGGCTGCTGTCTGTCACCTTTGCTTATGTCTCTGCCCAGGGCTGGTTTCAGGTTTGAGGGGGCCTGCCCAGGATCCCCCTATGCCTGCTATCAGATCCCCCTTCACCCTAGGGTTGCCAGACCGTGCCTGCCTAGCAACTGGTGGGAGTTTGGGGGTGGAGACATAGGGGCACATGTTGTGTCACATGCACTATGATATTACTTCTGGGAAAACCCAGAAGTGACATTGGGTAACTCTAGGAGTCATCAGAAACTCTATGGAAAAATAGGCCTCCTAGTGATCCGATATAAATGCCAATTGTAGTCACCATGTAATGTAGCACGGCTAAAGGGGCCTAAGCCCAAGCAAAGACCACCAGATCAACAGGAGGAGAAGAAACTTTATTGGCGCCAGGTTCAGCCAGCGAAGAACGCTTTAAACAGACTGAACCCAGAGCAACGCAGGCTCCAGACTTTTATACAGCAACAAGGTTACACGTCACGTCTTACATCATAAGAGTGGGATTTTCCACTAACTAGGCTTATTTTTCCCGCCCAAAACAAACAAGCCTGCTTCTGTCTCTATTGGCTGGAATGCGACCAGCAACTATCCCTTTATACGGTCAAAGAGTTATTTGAATAATAAATGCCTGCTTCAGTAATAGGGGGAAACAAGTCTCTGAAACAATTCTAAGTTGAAAGAGGGCTGACATGTGAACTTCAGGCTCAATTTTTGTTTGCTCCTGAAAACGATTAACTGTAAAGGAAGTTCCCTGCAACATTTACATCCTGTTAAACCAACAGGCAGCAACAATCGAAAAGAAGGCTCTTATTGTGAATGCTCCTTCATTTCCCTTGGGGCCATTATACCAACTGGCTTTCCAAAGAGCAAAGATGGGTGGTGGTGGTGGAAAATACTGTCAAGAAAAAAGCCATATTATGGCGACCCCTCATGGGGGTTTCAGGCAAGAGGTGAACAGAGGTGGTTTGCCATTGCCTGTCTCCATCTGCATAGTGACCCTGGACTTCCTTGGTGGTCTCCCATCCAAGCCCAAACAAGGGCTGACTCTGCTTAGCTTTTAAGATCTGATATCAGGCTAACAGCTACTCCCATTGGAGCCAGTCTACTTAGGCTGAAGAGCCCGTCTTCCTGCCCATTCCCGGCAGAATGCACTAGGGAAAGGAAAGGAGAAGAGGGGGCCACATACTGTCACACACGGTATCATTCTGGACATTGTGGCTTAAGCGCTATGTTTGGACAAATTCAACACTTTGAATAATATTTTAAAAATTTAAGGACAATGTAATATGTCATTCTCTTACATTTTTAAAGAAAACCCACGCAGAGAACTGTGCCATCTGCTACAAACATGCTGTCTGCTGGGGTTTTCAACTTCCAGAGGGGCCTGGAGATCTCCTGGGAGGGGTTGTGGTTCAACTGCAGAGCACCTGCTTGCAACGCAGGAGGTCCCTGGTTCTATCCCCAGCATCTCCAGTTAAAGAATCTGACAGTAGGTGAAGTACTGCCAGTCTGTGCAGACTGTAGCTGTGATGGACTGACAGTCTAATTCAGTATGGCACAGCTTCATGTGTGTTTGTGGAATTGGCAACCCACTCAAATATTTCAGCAGAATTTAAGTCTCCTCCACAGAAATCACTGGGGCACCCCATCGCTTGCACTGCTCATTACACATTCACTCAGGTGTACGCTCAGTGGGCAAGAGGAAACACCCATTTTTAGTAAAAAGGGTGTGGATGGGAAATAACCCCATCTCTGTATTTTGGAATGTGGAGCAGAGATCACCCAACAGGACCTGTGGGAAATGGCAACTGCCAGCATCTCTAGGAATCTGGAGCCACGATGGTTAACTTCTGGGTAAGAAGAGTCCTCAGCTTCTATGTGATGGGAGGGCAGAGGGGGTAGCCTAGGTGGCTTGGGACTGGGGTATCTGAAGGACTGTCTTGCCCAATCAATCAAAGGAACTGTTTTGGTGGACACATGAGAAAAAGCCTTTTCAGTGGCAGCCCCACAATTCTGGAACAACCTCCCCAGAGAGGTGCACCTGGCCCCCTCTCAGTCTTCCTGAAGACTCTGTCTTTAGGAGGCAGTTGGAGATGGTTTTATTAGGACTGCATTTTACTAATTGGTTTTTTAAAAATTGTGACCTTTTGTGTGGTTTCATAATAATTGTTTTTATATTTATATATTTGTATAGTCATTTTTTTTGTATTGTAACCTTGAGTTCCACAAGAGAAAAGTGGCTAATAAATGTTTCAAATAAATAATGAATAGAGAAATATCTGGCTCCTGTTGGCAGTTGGTAGAATACTCCGTGTGTGGAAACGGATAGAAAAAGCCCAGCCTGTGACATTTCTATGCACAGACCAAATGCATAGAGTTCCATAACACCAGAGATTTGGCCATGAGGCAGTCATCCTACCTCGCTTACTCAGGCTTAACACCTGCAAGGGGAGAGAAATTCTTCGTCTCAGTTAAGCTCTAAGTGGATAGGCACAACCCTGCTGACTAGTCCAGCCATTCCGAACTGGACACTGCTTTGTTTTTTATTTATTTCACTTCATTTGTATCCCACCTTCCTTCCCAATGTGGACCCGAGGCAGTTTACAGCATTCTACTCTCCTCTGTTTTATCCTGACAACAAAACTATAAATAGGTTAGGCTGAGAGTGCAAGTGGCCGAAGGTCACCCAGCAAGTTTCTATGGTACCAGTGGGGATTCGAACCAAGGTCTTCCAAATATTAGTCCAGCACCCTTAACCACCACATGACTACACTGGCTCTCTCTTCAGATTTGCTCATCTGTTTTTAGATTAGCTGCAGAGTGTTCTGGGAGAGAGAAAAGGCCTGTATGCACATTTACTCAGAAGTAAATCAGCTTGCAGCCGTCATCCCTTTTTATGCCTTCAGGCTCCTCATCCGTATTTCTACCCCGCCTCGGACATAGCGGTCCATAATGGGAACAGGAAGTGGTGGGGCGTAGAAGATTCTTTATTTATTTATTTATTAAATTTATATCCCGCCCTCCCCCGTAGGGCTCAGGGCGGCTTACATAGCAAGAAATCTTGCAATAATAAAACATCAAATAATTTAGTTACATTTAAAACAAATTCTACAGTTTAAAACCATCACAATACAATAAATACAATACATTAAAGTGCTCAACAATCTCAGCGCCGGAACCTCAGGGAGATGTCAACCGCATCCACATCCAAACACCCTGGTAGGCATTCCGTGTCCTTAATATTAGGTGTCAATTCCGATGTTTCTTCCTTCCATCCTAGGGCCCTTCCCCCCCCCCTTCAGAAGGTCGCGTTTGCACCCTCCCTGTGCGTGGAAGCGTCGAATGGAAACCGGAAATGTGGACTGCCTATATGTGCTTTCTCTTACTATTACATCTTTGGGTGACTCCACACTAGACCTTAAATGCTGGTTCAACCCTGCCCCTGAACTTACATTCTACACTAGAGTTCGCCCTTGTAATTATCTCAGGGGATTTTTTGTTTCCACATTACATTACATTGAGGTCACCCGGGTTTCGCCCCACACTTGTCCCAGGATAAATGGACGCTGTTATAACCAGGGATAAATGCAAGGTATTGTGTCCTAAGTTGAACTCTGAAAAACCAGGGGTGAGATACAAGTGCGGAAAGGACTTTTTTGTCGTGCAAATGGAGGCTTGCAATGAGAGCCGGAACTGATTATATATAAGGAGAGGAAATTTCAAAACTCTTTGTGACCAGCGATGCTTTCCAGGTCGGGGCTCTTAACAGAAGGGGAGGGGAACAACGCAAAGCCGCTCTTGTTCTGCAAAATCCTCTCTATGGTTTTTCTTGGCCCATTACGTCTCTTCTGCCGTCTGACGGGCGGGGCCAGGTCGACTCACGTGGCCGTTATGGGCGGGGCCCGCGTGCCCTGAGGGGGGCGGGCGCGGCGCTCAGTTAGTCAGTCGCCTTAAGTTGCTTGGGCAGGAGGAAGGCGAGGCAGGGAAGGGCGGCCATGGAAAAGCCCCGGCGGCCCGTGGTGGTGACGGGTAAGGGAGAGGAAAAAGGGAGGGGCCCGAGGGGGAAAACAATTAAAGGGGGGCATTTTAGGGGGGGACTTTTTTTGTCCCTTCTCAAAACTCTCCCCCCTTCAACAAGGCCCCCCCCGAAACCGTTCCCCTTTCTTTAGTTCCTCCTCCCCCCCCCCGAAATCCCCCCCCTTCCAGTAACTTTACACTTCGGCGACGGTCCACCAAATGAACTGCCCCTCAGGGACAAAATAAACTTGGTTGGTTAGCTGTGCTACTTAGTAGCGAGTAACGGTAACTTAGCAGCCCCACCCGAGAATTAATTGTTCATAACTCGCTATCTCTGGCATAGCTCTTTTCCTCACAGCTTCTCAGCCTTTCTGCTTATCTCTGTTTATTCCACCTGCTAACCGCTTCTTGTTAAAAGCCTCCACCCTATTTGTCCCGTCCGAGTAATCCCTCCTTGAATAATACGGGCTACCCCGTCCCCTTGAATCGCCACGTCTGAAAATTTTCCCCTCCTTAAAATCTCCCTCCCCGAATGGATTGTCTTCTAAAAAGCCTTAAATAAGTGATCTCTTTACCAGTCCTATGCCCCCGCCCCGTGGATCATTCATTTTCTCTTTGCTCCTGTATCTCTCCTAACTTTCTGTACTTTCATTTTTGCCCCTCCCCCCATATTTAGTCCTAAACATGTTTTCGGGGAAGAGAATGGAGAGCTGAGCGGTTCCGTCTGAAAGATCAGTGGGGTGGCTTCTTGTTGTTGGCTCCACCACTTTTTTTTCCTTATCTGTGGGAAATAAAGTGCAAGTTCTCTTATCTTGATAAAGTTGTCTTGCTTACTCCGTGGGTAAAAAGAAGTTGCCTTGTTTTCCTGGAATGTGGTTTTGTGTGTATTTGGGAAGCAGCGTCCTTGTAAAATTTGGATGCAAGAGGGAGCCCTGTCTAAGATTCTCTGTGCCCCCCCCCCACCTCTTGGGCTGCTTCCCGTTGGTAGAAAAACTGGTGTCAGCTGGAACTTGG